TGGAAAGTTGGCCAAAAGCGCCGTGATTCTGTCCTTGTCAATGTGTCTGAACAGCCTCGAAAGGAGCGCTTTGCCACCATGGGTACATATACAAGCTGCTAGGACGACCATGATGAATTGAGATAGCTCGGTTTGAGTTGATCTTGAAAGTACTGTTTTTTTGACACGCACCCAATCTGCGGCGTGCGCGGTTCAAAAGTGCCGTAGTGAATGGTTGTGTGAGGGGGAGTTAATAATAGGTGTGTCAAAATGAGTGAAGAACAAAAGGTCTAATATCATTTGTTGTATGAACTTGTGGAAGTAATTGCTGTAGGCGTTTGTGAAAGTACACATTATGTTGATTCCGGAAGAATTGAGGGACAGCCTATTATGCTCTTGACTATAAATGGCTGCGAAAATTTCCATTTTATCACCAGTCGAAGTCCAAGATTTCAAGATCACCATTTCGGCGAACTGATGATATGTCTAGTTTGGCACGCTGAACTTACTTAAAGCTTTAAAATCCCGAAGTACTTTTGTTATTCAGAACGACAAACCGCTCACCCTATATACTCTATCAAACCTTAAAAGCCATTCCACCTTACTCCAGCACAGCAACCAGAGACGAAATCTCCTGGGGCTGCGACGTTTGAGGTGTCGAGGCACGGAGAGCTCTTTCCTTCTTCAACTTCTCCATCTCCAGCTCGATTTCAGGCATCAACATCTGGTAGTCCGCTTTTCTCGCCCTCACACGAGCCTCTCGAAGAAGACGCTCTGCATCATCTAGCTTACCTGTGTGAAGCTGGATCACTCCCATACCGTAGGTGGCAAGCGATGCAGTTTCTTTGATCTCAGGGTACGTAGCCGAGATGGGGATATTGTCACAGCCGGTTGCCACGGCCTTGTATGTCATAAGAGCAGTTTCAGTAAGCTGCTTTATGGAATCCTCAAGGTGGTTACGTGACTTGATGTCCTCCTCGGTCAAGTGGGCGTAGACCTTCTTCTCAAGCGCAGCTTTTTCGTCAGCGCCCAATTTGGACCTGTTTTTCCATGATTCAGCAGAAACACCGGCATTCTCAGCCCAGATTTTTTGCAATTGGTGAAGCGCTGCCTCTCTTTTCTCCATCACCATATAAAGCGCCGAGGCCGTGTTGCACTGCGAGAGCATCAACTTATCTGGTGCCATGTTGGCAGCCATCATATCCGTCGTCAGTTGCATTCTTGCCCAAAGTGCAGTTTCAAGGTCGCCAACCTGGTAGCTGTGAATTGCCAAGAGATCACACAAAGCGAAGTACTCCTCGGCATATGGGTAGAAGGCGTCTGGATTACTTTCAAATGGCAAACGTTCCTTGAGCTTCTCGAACTCCTTGTTTTCTGATACAGCGGCAGCAACAACGTCACCCGCCATCTTCAGCGCTATGTTATCATGAGCCACGACGTAATTGGCGAAAAGCGAGGCTCTCAAAACCTGTGGCATGCTATCCATGAAGTCTGCAGCTTTCAAAATTGTCCGCAATGCTCTCTGGATCAAGTGTTCACGGTGGAATTGCGACTTGATCTTCTGACCGTATTCAGAGTCTGGAGGTGCTGTAAGCACTAGCAAGTAGTGGGTGTTGAGTTCTGTAAGCATGAAAACCACATCGTCGTCCATACCCAAGCGCTCGTACATCTCGGCGATTTTCAATTGGATTCCAGTGTACTCGTCGCTCAACCTGTCCATACCCAACTTGTCACATTCAGCTAACGCCTCCAAATAATGCTTCAAGGCTAGTTCCCAATCGGCATCACCCTTATTGGACTCAGCCCAAAGGCCCTTTCGTAAGATCTTCGCCACCAGCAGCGGAAAAGTGTGTTTGGGCCAGAAGAAATAGTATGCAAAGGTTCCCACCGTGACCAAGGCCATGGTGAAGTAAAGCAGCTTCTTGAATCTGGAAGGCTGATTCACATCGGGAAGATGGGGGTATTGATTATAGTGAACGTTCCTTTGGAGGCGGATTCTCGGAAAGCTCCGAGCAAGTGGCACTCTGCCGGGCTTAACCTGCCTTAATTGTGTTTTTAGCGTTCTGGCAAGCATACCGATTAGATCTGGAGATCTCTCGATTCTATGTAATACCTGGGAGGTACGGGTGCAAAGTTGGAATGGCTGCGAAAACCTGGTACTTTTGGGAGCTTGTGTAGGTGTGTTTTCTGAGGAAGGCGCTGGTGGAGTGACATTTGGGGAGCTTTCGAATTTGGATTATAGGTTTATTTCGAGTGATTGAAAAACTGTAAAATGTGTGAGTTTTTTTGAACTTTTCCGAAATAAATATGTTAGTCAAACGGTGATAGCTACTTACTGAACCATGAATCGAGAAAAGAGGGCTCACTACTTTAACCTTATCTGATGTGTAGTTCAACTGGGTTGGTGATTTCTTTGAGGTCTTGTCTTCGATTATTTGAAGGCGTTTTTGAAAATGCCGTAAGCCTCTAGACAATTCGGAATCACAAGATCCCCTGAAGGTCTCTCTACGGAGTGTCGAAGGATCCTGTAATTGAGAGGGTTAAAAGAAATATGATAGACGCTTCATAAGCCCCAACCGCCTTTCTCGTAGGGCCACTGAGGTCATTTTCCGTACATGAGCAAAAGAAATCAGGTTCGGGGAAACGTGGATTATTTAAACTCTGGCGGACCTTGCGTTCTCCGGATATAATATTTTCTTTGGTTGGAATTGCCATTCAGACTTGAAAGAAGTGACTAACATCATGGCACCTGAAGTACTTGACGGCTGATCCCGTCCGATAGCCAACTGGCTGACTTGAAAAGATTTTCATGAAAATTCGTTAACCTTCCGAAAACTTCCTTAGAGCATTCCAAGGATGAACCTTGCCAATTGGTATTTAGAAGCGATATCAGTTGTGTTTCACAGTGAATGTCTTGCCAATGATGTTTGGAAAATAATCACCCAATAAAGAATACAAGGCTGGTGCAAGTACCCATGTTTGTATCAGTGAGTTCGCTGATGCTGTCTCACCAGTTCAAGCTTGAGCGATATCACTTCCAGCTGCGTGGTATCATAAGAAGCAAGGAAACATGTCTGCCTTCTCAATTGAGCAGATTGATCTTTCCTTAAGCTTCAATTGATATCAAAAACCACCTTTCTTTCTTTTATTTCAATTTGCAATTGAGTTTAACCTGTGTCCCGAGAAAGGGGCACCACTTTCCACCTCAGACGCTCAGTCTTGCGGCTAAAGCTAAAACTCCGCCAAAAGCCCGCCGAAAGTCCGAGTGTCAATACCCTAAGATCGACATTGTTAAGCTAGCCGAAAGCTTACAAAGCTTTTTCCATACATAAGACAAACAGGTGACGATAAGGAAACACAATGAGTGAGGAAGCCTAAACACAAAAAGTAAAGTCCGGGCAATTCACATGGGAAGCCAACAGACCACGAAAGACCCTGCGCCCGGAGGGAATTCATAACCAAACATAACAAAATGCACTAGGGAAAACGCCACAAACCTGCTCTCGGGGTACACAGACGCAGGGACAAGAGTCCAGGACGAAATTTACCATTTACCACATGTGGGCCACATGAGGCTCGGCAAGGACCAGCGGCGGCAAAACGGACAGCACATCCTCGGAGTGGAGTCGAAAGTGACGGAGAGAAGGTTTTGAACGTGGGAAAGAAAAACAGCGGTGAATCAGGGTTTGCAGAGCTTATTTTGCGTTTGAGGAAGGAACGGACGAGCGGCGCAGAACAACTAATTATTAGTCAATTGGCGAGACAAGTCACGAGCGTTAAAAAGGGGGAATTGTCGGGGCATCTTCTGATAATTGAAAGGTGTTTCTGATGCACGGGGAGACCCCAAAAGCGGACCGCATGTTGACGCAAAAAGTGGTGGTACCAAAAATGGCACAAAACCACAGCGTAGACCAAGACAATTCTGGAGATTTCCCGTAATTCGCTTATCTGGCCAGAGCTCCAGATGGGAGGCGACCGAAGCGAGAAAGAGCCTCGGGAACCAAACCGTGGTCCACCACTTTCTTTATTTTGGTATTGAAACCAAGCGAGACGCAGGGTGCTTCCACCGAGGGTATTCACAGGAGCAAGAGAATGCACGCGACCGCACTCATAACCGAAGCGTTCAACAAGGCTTACGATGGAATAGATTTCGATTCTGGGCTTAGGGGTGGTCCACAGTCTGGAACAGGCAATTGCGGGCCACACAGCAAGAATCGAAGGGCGTCCTTTTGCACCCAAAGCCTCAGTTCCCTTGACAACGGCCCACAGTGTTGCAGACGCAACCGCACGGGCTCCGGTCCACAACAAAGAGAGTCTGGTTGGTTGCCAGGAGAAACGCCAGTGACCGCTATTGTTGGAGGATTAATGGAAGCGGTGGGTGCATGGCAGCACCTGGCAACAGCGTAGGGTGTTTCTGAGGCACCGCCGTGCGGTCACGCAGCGAATACGGCGTGGGTGCAGCAGAATACGTTTTTTTTTTTTTTTTCTTATCACTGGTTTCTACGTTACCGCAGCTTCAAATGTAACATGGCAAGGCTGAGGTGCGAGCTTCACTGACAGGCCTCGCGCAGGGTGCGTCAGTTAGACCGGGTGCGATGCAAAAATAATATTTCAGTGGTAGAGCGAGGAGAGCTATTTTGGCTGAAATGTAAGGAACAGCCCAAAACCTCACCCAAGATCTCTGTTTTTGCTTGTCGTGAAACCGCTGCTTCACCAGCCTCGAGCAATGTAACGCTGTGCAGCAAGCGCAAGAAGAAAATGCAGACGGCACCCTCGAAAGTGGCTGCGCAAGAGAAGAGTTGGAAAGTTACGACGGGAAAGGCTGGGCATACACCGGCTTGGCCTTGAGAGGCGGGCCGCAGCAGGTGTCCATGCGCCGCTGTGACAAAGAAAGTGGTGTATTCAAAAAAAAAAAGTCACATTTGCCAATTTGTAACCACCGGGTGGAGGTGTTTTTCGTTCATGCCCCAAGAGCCACTTTAGCCGCGGAAGGGTCCGACTTTCGAGGGTAGCTGCAAACCATGGTTACGGAAGGTTACGCAGTCTGTTTCCCCAGACCGACTAATCCAGCAGGTGGATCCAGGCCAAGGGAACTTGAAATGAATGGCATTTTGTGAATGTCAGTTTTTTGTTGAATTTGGTGAAAGCTGGTTTTGCTGGTTTCGGCCCCGGGACCGTGACACCAACGTGCTCTTTGTTCCAGGCTGAGTCGTCGTGTTGTGGTGGCTGGTTGACGCAAGAAAGTCTTGGCTTGAGCACTGGCCAGACTGCTAGGCACTGGAGCAGAGCACTGGCTACTCGGTGCACTGGCTAAAAGCTTCGGTTAAATCGAACCATGGGCTTCACAACGGCGGAGCTTTGACAGACGTAGATATGGTTTGACAATGGCGTGTGACGGAGACGTCAAACGGTTAAACGACATGGGTGGGGGTTCCGTGGGGTATGGGGTCCCGCCCCCACGCGGAGCCTGAACCAGAAGAGGTGTTTTTCATTGGCTGGTAATTTTGATCCGGCTGGGCCGTTGGTGGAATCGTTCAGTCGTTTAGTTAAATCCTAGGCTTCGTTTGCAGCCATTGCGATTTCGCAGCCAGTCCAGTGCATCAGGCCTAATGGAGGCAGCAAAATAGCTCAAACTGAGTGGTCTTTAAAAAACGTTCACAAAGGAAATTGACTAAAATCACCATTCAACCGTCTGCTTCCTGGCTTAATTTCCCTGCCTTCGTCTGGCTTCGTTTCCCTGGCGTCTCCCTGGGGCCTGCGTATGGGCCCATCGCCATCAGCATCACCACACACCACTAGTACACCCTTTTCTTCATGTCCAACATCATCAACGTCTTCAATCCGCCGCCCTCCCGCCTGCTCGGCGACGAGGAGTGCCTCGGGTGCACGGCTGTGCAGCTGGTGGTTTGTTTGGGTGGAGGAGGCTACTTTTTGCTGTCGCTTCCTTTCAAAGGCAAGAACGGCACGGTGGACTTGAGAAAACACCCGATCTGGTTCCAGAGGGGAGTTCGTGGCGTGGGCATTGGTCTTGTGGCCTTGGGCATGTACCGTTTGGGCGAGGTGGTGCAGATCTACTCGAAGCGTAACTGGCTCTAGGAGAGGTCGTTGAGGGGGTTTTGATGGTCTGGGGGTCATCGAATGGAGGTCTTTGATGGACTGGGCCAGGACGGTAAATGGACGATAATTTAGTGATAAGCGCTTTCTTCGGTCAACGGCGATCGACGGAGAACGTCAATGAATGTAAATAGCAATGGGACATGTACATACAGATGTGTAGGCTCCCAGGTAGTCCTAGGCAAGGGCTCCCGGCGAAAAGTGAAGGTGATGATGTTGTTTCAAATTATTTTGAAGAGACGACCACAGCGACACTGGATACCAAATCACCCAATCCAATACGGGCTCCGTAGCCAATCCAGACCTGCCATCATTCCATTAATAGGCGTAAGCCTCCATTGGCCAATCTCCCCGTCTTCTCCAGCGGCTTCCACAGCCCACCGTATTGTTCCCCCAGGCGTCAGACCAAGTCCCCCCTCCATGCCATCCCCTCCGAATGACTCCCCTTCGTAATCTCACAAACCAAAAGACAGACAAATCCACATCGCCACAGCAAGAGCTCAGAGTCATCCAACGCCGTGGACCCCTCCTTTACCAGCCCTGCGCTGCCGAATCTCCACCTATTTATGTTGCTGGTGACCCTAGACCCACCACGGAATTGCAACTGGGGAAGTGGACGGAAGTATTCAGTTCGCAGCCATACAAATGCTACTGCCAAGGAAGAAGGAAAGAGGAGGCGGCGCTTCAGCCCAGTGGGAGAAACAAAACAAGGGCTTATGGAACAAAGCCTAGAGGCCGGTCCATGCAAAGAAACCCTCCACGCAACACATCCCAACAAGTTTTGGAGAGGGAAAGGACGTTGATTGAGCAGATTAATGGAAATGGCGTAAACAAGAAACCCCGTGCATACGCCGCAAACACCCCGTTTCCAATATAGAAGGTCTAATTCGAGAGGGCCAGACCAGTACCCAATTGGTCGCCAGGGTCCTGATTCTAGCAACGGTACATGGACTAGTTTGCATGTCTGTGGTTAGGGCAACCGGGCCATGCACGCGGGCCTCCACATCTGCACGCGTATGCACGGCTGCATGGAGCCGTTTTTCCTCGTAGCGAGATACCAGAACTTTTTAAAAGAGATATCTATGTTCTGCCGGGTACGACGACTCCAACGGTGCAATTTCCACCAGCTTTCGCCCAGTAGATCGCTCACAAACCCACCGCCTTCGCTGCCCATTCCGAGGGTATGCGTCTGCAGGGTTGCAGCACATGAATACATACAGACGCACAGCACCGACCCAGCTACAGATATCGCAGCGCCGGCGGATAAGATGCTGTCTGAATTTTTTTTTTTTTTTTTTTCTTACGGTTCCATTTAAAGAGCCCGTTCCCAGCAAATCCCAACCCACATCTATGGGACGCGATCCCCTTCTCCAGCTTCCATCCATCACCGCCTCCTCGATCGCCTCTAGATCACCGCTCTGCAACCCCAACCACCCTTTCCTCAATCTCCCCTTATCATGGACCAGTTCGTGGAGGCAGACAATATCAAACAGGGCTACCTGGTGCCAAACCAGGATTACCAGCCCATGGACAAGTTCTACCCTCCCGAACTAAATGCACCACAGGGCGCCCCACAGTCAAACGGTGCCCCACCACAGAATCTCCAAAACGGCGTCAACATGGCAGCAGGACATCCCAACCCGCCAAATCACCAGCTCCCGCTTCCCCCACATCTCCAAAACCCGCCCCTCCAACCCCAGTTTTTCCCTTCTTTTCCGGCGCAGATGCCTTACTCAGGCAATATGGACGACCCGCGCTGTGTACCTCAGGACGCCATGTCACTGGTGAGAGACTTGCAAAACAACCGCATGCGAGGACTCTACGGCTACCCGGGCGGGTACGTGCCTCAGTTGAACAAAACGGAGCTGCCGAGCCAGCCGGCGTCGTCCGAATACAGCCCGATGAAAAAGGAGGACCACGGGCTCGTGCTGCTCATCCCACCTTTGCATGTTCAGCAGAAGAACGCCTCCAAGGAGGAAACAGACAACGACCACCATGCCATCACCACCAAGTGCCTGCGTTGCAAGAAGGACTTTGTGCAGAGCTTCGTCAAGGGCAAGGACGGCAAGCCTGACGGAGAACCCAAGATCTACAAGTTGTGCCACCACTGTCGAGACTTGCAGAGACAGAGGTCCCGAAGGTGGCAGAAGAAGACCAAGGACAAGCAGGGCGCGTGTCGTCGTTGCGGTGGAACCATCTCCGAGGAAGAACAGAACTACGTTCTTTGTCCACAGTGTCGAGAGTCGCTACGGCTCCGAAAGGCCAATAGGGCTGCTCAGGGCAAGTGTGTGCACTGCCTGGGGCCCATTGGTGCGCTGATAATCGGGGACAAGAACGGCGACAGACGGTCCCAGACGGGCCTGTTCAAGGTGTGCCAGCGGTGTAGAGAAAACGACAAAATCAGACGAACCAACTTGGAGCGCATGGGCAATTGCAACCGTTGCGCCAAGGCGTTGGACCCGTCGCAGCAGGGAAAGCACAAGGTGTGTACGTCGTGCCGCCAGAAGAAAAAGAAGGGTGCTCTGCTGCTGCCTCTGGAGCCCGAGAGCTCTTTGGGCATGGAGATGCCTGTTTTCCAAAACCACAACGTCCAGAGCATGCCTCAGCAAAACATGCCTCTGCTCCAGCCCCAGGCGCCTATGGGCATTGGCTATCCTATGGCAATGGGCCAGCAAATGGGCCAGATGGGCCAGATGGGTCAGCAGATGGGTCTTGGCCAGGACTACTACCAGTACAGCCAGCCTGTGCAACATCTTCCGCAGCCCATGCAGATGCCTCAGGATCAAAACCAGTCATCGTTTTCCGCTCGCGGCCGTCTCCAATAGTGCCATTGTCGGAGAAGTAGCGACAATCCCGGTGAATGGTGGACCGTGTGGAGGTGCGAACTGGTGATAATGAGCGGAGGGGTTGTCGGTGGTTGTCAGTCGGCCATTGAAAGTCTTTGGGAAATGGCTTTTTGAAGTGTGCTTTTTGGAATTGTGCTTTTTTGAATTGTGGTGTTTGGCTTCGATGTGTGGATCGAGCATCGGAATATTTCAGACTTGCACCGTCAGATGGACATGAAAAGAGAATTGTCCACGTTTTCTGATTTTTCGGTCTTTTCGCTGCTGCAACCTTTCACGTCGATCTTTTGAAAGCTTATTTTAAAGCGCTTTTCTTTAAAACCCCAAATTGCTGCAAACATCCATCAAAAATCCCCCAAAGACAACTCATCGGCTATTTCGTCTTCCCCATGGCTCTCTGGCACCTCACCCCCGCCTCTCCCAATATATTCAAATTCTAACGATCCTTACAGCCTCCTGTCGGTACCAACCGTGGTATGCGCCGCCTATGGCCGACTAATCGTGGATCAACGTACCCCAGGACGATCCTACAGCTGCAGTGGTGCTAATGTGGGCTTTGCCCTTTGGACAATGGCGCCTGGTTTGGACCGCAGAATTGGTCGAATCAGGAAACAGCCCTCTTTGGCCTACTGGTGTTGACCATACTGCTATGAAACACACAATCAGCGAGACATCGATAAACAAATAACGCTACATTCAGCAGAGCCAGCGACTCTTGGCAGCTCTAGCCGGCCCGCTTTGGACCCTATTCCCCTTCCCACCGGTGGTTCTGGCTTCCAGGTTCCATCACAAGTACGCTCTACAAGAGCCACAACAGTACATAGACGCCCTGTCACGCCACAGCTAATAAGTAATGGAAATTTCCCAGCACGTCAGCCCTGTGATATCTAGCCTAATAGACTCTTTTTTAGACATTCCTGGTATCCCATTTGCTCAATGGCATACTGTCTAACCGTACAACACGCACTCCATATTCTATATCTACAACACCCAAACGTACTACTTCCCAAAAAGCACCACCACACCCCGCCACAGCAATACACACTCGGCGCGGATACCAAAAGAAACATTGGCATTGCAGAAGAATTCCCGAATTTCTAGAAAAGTTCGAAATCCCCTCTGCACCCTCCGTCCTTATATCGGTCCACGAGCTGCCCGCCCTGCACTCTCACCATCAACTCACATTCTCGAAAAGTTGCTCTTGAACAAAAAACCAGCTCCATGCAGCTGAACAACCTGTCACAAACGTCCCTCTCCTCAAGGGACAAGGACCTTCCTCCTGTGCCTCCCTTGGACACAGCCCGACCTGCTGCTTTTCTGCTAGCTTCTCCTACAAGTCCAGCAGACGTGCTGGCACTGGAAATGGCCCGATTCCAGAAACTCAAGGCCCAGCAGCAGAAAAAGAAGACCCGCCCGGCGCCGTTGCTCAACTTGGACAAGGCCAAGCAGCCGCAGCTGAATTTCGTGGAGTCGTTGAAAACGCTAGACATTCTGGACGAACCCCAGACCCGAAAGAGACAGACCGTGATCAGCTCCATCTCTCCGACAAAGCTGGTCTACACGCCTTCGCCTCGAGACCAGAAGTTGCCTATATGGGGGTCGGCGTCGCCTGTGGCCACCACGTACGGCTCGCTGGGCTACGATCTCAGAGACGAGAAGTTTGTCCATTTAAAGGACTTAGGGCTGGGCAACCTGGGGGTGGTGCTGAAGGTGCTCCATGTGCCGCTGCAGAAAACCATGGCCCGCAAGATCATTCATATTGAAAGCAAACAGGACGTTCAGACCCAGATCATCCGGGAACTACGGATAATGCACGAGGTGAGGTCGCCGTTTATCATCGAGTTCTACGGCGCCTTTCTCCGGCCCAACAACTCCATCGTGCTATGCATGGAATACTGTAACTGTGGAGCTCTCGACAAGATCCTTCTGCTCTGCGATAACGGCCAGTTCCCCGTTCCAGCGCTCAAAAAGGCGCTGTATTCCATCCTCAGCGGCCTAACGTACCTCTACAACACACACAAAATCATCCACCGTGACATCAAGCCCTCCAACGTGTTGATGACCCACAAGGGCGAGTTCAAGCTCTGTGACTTTGGCGTCAGCCGAGAACTCACGAATTCCATCCTCATGGCCGACACGTTTGTGGGCACCTCCACCTACATGTCGCCTGAGCGTATCCAGGGTCTCACCTACGGCGTCAAATCAGACATTTGGTCCATGGGTCTCATGCTATACGAGCTTGCCACGGGTAAGAGCATATGGGTAGACGACGATGCCGACCAGTCCAAGCCGGCAGGCCCCGAGGGGATCTTGGACTTGCTTCAGCGTATCGTCAACGAGGACCCACCTTGTCTTTCGAACAAAACCAACAAGCTCACCGGAGCTCCGTACGAGCCAGACTTGTGTGAGTTCATCGAGTCTTGTTTGGTGAAGGACGATGCAAAGAGAAAATCGCCCCAGGAGCTTCTCGCCAACGAGCAAGGTTTCCTCAAGGGCGTCCCCGAAGGCGTCTACGATAAAGACGTCAAGGCATGGGCCAAGACAATCCGCAAGCGGAACAAGGAGAAAAACGAGGCCTCCTAGGCCCTGGCATGTAGTGTCTATAAATCATAAGTCATCAGCATCACGACATTTGGTCGCTGGCAAATATAAACGCGTTCATTTTCCGCTGGCACGCTGGCCGGTTCGTGTAGAATACCCGTCTAGTCTGGCATCCTTGGCGAAGCAAACGGTTGATATCGGCTGTTGAGTGGCACCGACTGGGGCACTCACTTTCTTCTTCAGTGCATAGTTTGTAATCGTCATCACAGAATAACCACGAAATGTGGGTTCTTGGCTGTTTCACCACCTCTGCTTCTTTCTTAAATCGTAGTTTCTTTCTGGTAACGTCCTCCTCTGTGACCAGATCTGAGGAGCTGAGGGTGCCCATACTCATTGATCGAAGTGGTTTCTTGGATTTTGTGGATGAATTACTGAACGTCGATAACGTCGATATTAGCTCCTCCATGAGAAATTTGTCTTTGTATGTGAGTTTCACCCGATGGATGGTTTTGTCTTCGGGCATTCTTGATAATCGTGCATCTGCATTGGCTCCAAATAACGCTACGCTGTATCGCAGTTTCGTAGAAGCCAATTTGGTGTTGATGCTCATGGCCAAGGCGGCCCTAATGGCGTCAGCGCCCGGTGCAAACACAAGAACATGATGAAATTCGTTAGCGTAATCGTTAAGCACCAAAGCTGGGTTCTTGCGAAGCCGCTCCATATCAACAAACGTCACAAATAGGTGCTCTAGGTCTAGGTGGTTGATGACCAACAAGCAGTCGTTGGCCTCGCGTGTGGCGTCGTTGAGGATCACCAACACTCGAGCCTGTGGTTCCTTGGCCAACATCCCGAGAAGGTGGTCCTTGCAGTATGAGTAGAATGGGAGGGATATGTCTGTGAGGAAGCAGCAGTCGTGAAGAGACACCAGTGAAGGTATTTTCAACAACGACAGCTGAGGTTTGGGGACCTTGATAAAGTCCTGGAGACCTCCATCGATCGTGTGCCCGTACACAAAGTCTCGTAGGCAGGGGAATTTCTTGTGGGACTCGTAGCGGCTAAAATCTGTGTGGAGAAGGAAAAGGCAATTCTGGCATGGGTCGTCTGGGGAATGGATCCAGCATGCGGACACGGGGAAGATGAAGAGTTTGTCCGAGGGCAGAAAATCCGTATTGTTGGGCTGTGTGGTTTTGGCAATAATCCGAGAACCAGGAACAACGCCATGGCCTCGAAAGTCTCGAGAATAGTCCACGGCAACGTGTCTTACTCTGAGAAGAGCATCGTGGTCGGGGGACGCAACGAGGCGGTTGAGGTGGATCACAGACTCTTTTAGCCGAGATGAAGAATGTAGTAAGCGACGGATCGGTAGCAGATTGACGGATGTCGACGCCACCAGCGAAGTGTCTGAGACCGGGGTGTCCGGGACACTGATCATGGTAGCCATCAATCGAAACGCTGGGTTCGACGGTTTTAACAGGAGTAGGCAGGTGTTGAAAAAAAAATAATAAAAAAATACGATCCGCCGTTGTACTAAAGCAGTAATTCAAGTTGCAGTACAGGAGACAGGTGGGTGCGGCTGCAAAGAGAGCGTGTGAGAGACTTCGCTTAGCTTGCCGGTGTTTGGGGCGCAAGCGGCTTGATGCGGAATGTGACAAAGCTGAGAAAACAATCATCGTCAACACAACAATAGAGCGCTGTGAATTCATTGAAGATTCGATTCTGGAACGACCGGCTGCAGATTATGCTAAGACGCGTTTTGCGAGTGTTCTAATTGAAAGAAGCGCAGCGGGACCCTGTGGGGACGCTCAAGTGCCAAATTGAGGCGCCGAAGGCTCGGAAAGCAGGCCTCGAAACGCGGCGAGGCCAAATTCGGAGGGTGGGCTGGTGGCCTATGTGCAGGACCCTGATCCCAAAGGTAAACAGCATCGAGTTGCAGCCACCCGGGGGATGGGGGTGTCAGGTGAAGCACAGTCGGTTAGACGAAGGCGATAAAAGAAAGCCCCTTCTTGTCAATGGTAAGAAAAAGTGTTCCCCATGGAGGATCGCGACTTTGTGTCAGAGTACGTAAACGCACTGTCACTATTATACTTGTGCGGCCATGCTGAATCAGGAAAACCCACCTTGTGAGGTCCTGGACTGGACCCACCCTTTAAGAAAAGCTTAATCCAGCAGGAGTGCTGGGCCTGGACCCTGGTCCGGGCTTGCGTCATATCGTGCATCACTATATCCAATATATATATTCGGCAGCCCCCTCTGGTCTGATCACCTTTCTACAGGTGCAGCTTTTTCCTCCTTTCCTCTTCATCCGCCAATGAGAGCCGCATCGCTTCTTCGATCATTCGGTCCTCGATCAGCTGCAAGTAGCGCAAGTTTTGGGTGTCGTTATTCTGACCTCGAGAGCCGTTCCCAGCACTGGTGCCGCTCCCATCGTCAACAATAAGATTCGAGGCGTGGATGGCGCTGGCAGTGGCTGCACGGCGAGCCAATTTGGACTTAGCGCTGGCCAATTTCTGCTCCCAATCGGGCCGAATAAAGTCGGTGGTGACCACACCGACGGCGTCTGCGGGCACAGACGATCTTCTCTGTTTCGGTTTTGCTTTTTGGGGGCTCAATGACCGCAGAACCGGCGTACCTGACGCCTCTTCCGAGGACAGCACCGCATCCTCGGCTGCTGCTGCTGCTGGTGCTTTGTAGTTGGCTGGGGACTGGACGCCTCCAATTCCCACGCTGAGATCTGTAGGAGAGTCGTAAGTGACACCAAAGTTGGGCATGGCACAAAATGGACAGTTGGCTGGCTCCAGGATGAGTGTGTGGGGGAGCTCGGCCTTGTTTTCGTTACTCATGTCGTCGTGCGGAGGGTGTGGGTCAAGCCGCTTGATCTGAACAAAGCACTCGCTGCAAATGGGCTGGCCACAGCAGCGGCTGACGTTGAGATAGGGCGGGAAGTAGAGAAAGCAGATCGGACACTCGGAGGCCTCGCGGTAGAGCTTGAGGAGAAGCTCCCGGTCGGGCACGTTTTCGTCTGCTTTGGATTCCTTGCGGGCCGTCATAAACTCCTCTTCGTGCTGTTTTTGTACCTCTTTCATGCTGGCCACGAGCTCCCGGACTCTTTTTTTCTGCTCTTGTCTGCGGAAGTAGTTGGCCAGAAGGTGGATCTTGTGATTATCGGCGTCGTCCGGCTCCTCTTCTTCCAGGTACGCCTGGTCAATGGCATGGAGAGGTAGCTGGCTTGCGATCGTGGCCACCTCGTCGTCGGTCCAGGAGGAATCAAAGTCCTGGAGCGGTGTAAAGAAAGGCGCTATTCGTCTGTCCACTATAAGCCCCCGGACAATCTCGGTGTTGTAGTCCAAGTTCAGCTTGTAGATTCCGTGAGGAGCCAAGAACCCGCCGTCCACGTTTTCGTCATATCTGACGATAAGAGCCAGCAAATGGGCCTGCTTGGTTTTGAGTCTTTCCTCACTCAGCAGCTTATGAGACCCGCTGGAGTTGGATCCGCTCAGATAGACCATGAAACCGGCATTTTCGAGAATCGACAGGGTCGTGTGCCTCCTTGAGGATCTCGTGTGGGTGTTGCTGTGGTGGGCTCCTACCGAGGAGGCTCTGGATCTACTCTCCTTGGTCGGAACGTTTCCCATGGTGATGTGATTTTGGAACCTGCAATAGTTTGGCTGGTGGGTTGTGAGGAATATGCAAAAAACGTGCTGTCTGTGGTTTTAAGACTTTAAGCACCGGAGTAGTAAGGTGATGAAGAAGACGTTGCTGGCGTGGGGGTGACTGAGCCCGGTCACGTGAGTGGTCATGTGAGACACAGGGACCCCTATTTGGCCGTCAGCGCCCGCATGGGGTATGGTTCTGTCGGAATAAGCTGGGCTAGCCCAGTTACATCTAAATTTAATTTGACTTTTTGTCTACGGGGCTGCTTTGGCTGTAAATTATGGGGGTTACCTGATCACCATTTCCAGTGTGTGCAGTACCGGAGGCCGTCGAGCGCCTTTAGGTTGATCGGAAGTCACAAGACTCAATAGAAAGGGTCTGGAGACTACGATTCCAGCAACTTTCAAGTGACGGTTGCTTTGCTTCGTTGTTTTTCTCGTCAAGGTTTCAGATTTCTTGCATACCGGTTTTTAAGATTCTCACATGTTGCTTGGACGGGTGTAATTTGAAAAGAGGCGCTGCACACTCCATTTGGTTGCAAAACGCAAACCCACGTAGTCCCAAAAAATAGCAAATCGGTGTATTTTCACAATTCTGACTCTTACATCAAATTCACCACCCAAAAATCACTATGTTTACAAAATCTCCCGATTTTACACCGTTCAGGGGCTGTTTGTGGGCCCCAGTGGATTCACCTATTGTCTCACTATAAGCACCGAGCGTCTTCGATTGCTCTGCAAAGGTACCGCAAAACCGACAGTGTCTCGGCTATGGACCACTGGAATATTCCATTTTTCCGTTTGTGTCTCAGACCTGCTACTTTGAAGTTTGAAGCTTGCGGGTGATAGGTTGCAACCATAAGCTGGATCGCAGTCAGCATAGACACATAACGGCGGACCCAGTGATGTCATTTTTGTTATTTTGGAACGTATTCTACAATAACGATTGTTTAAGCTTTAGACTATACATGTCAAGCTTTTTAGGAAACGCATCTTGGGCATCTGCCCAGCAATCCTACAGTGCCATGACGTGAGCTGTGTATTAATGTATTAGTCGTCACTCGTAACTCGTCTGAGACAATGTCCAGACGATCAGTGGAAGCGGGCTCGTAGGCCGAACGCTATGGCAATTGCTGCAAATACTAGGCATAGCCACACCAAGCCAATGACAAAACTCCAGAGCTTCTGCCAGTATGTGTAGCATGCAAAGTAGCGGCGATTGACGGGCCCAAAAGGGACCCGGGGAAGGTAGTGGCGGTAGCCGCCGAAATCGAAAAATCCAAACGCTAGAAGGAAGTAGATGGGCACACAGACGAGGCCCATGACCATGAGAAAAGCCCATTTGGCCCAAGGTTGGGCAGTGAGCTGCTCGTCGTCTTGAAGAAATGGTCC